TTTTTTTTGTCAGATCAGCAAAAAAATATATTTTTTGGTGTGCCACAGAATTTATTAATTAGTTTATGTGTGCCCTGAGGTGAAAAAAGTTGAAAATCACTGGTCTAGACTGCCAGGCCATGGCTAGAAAGGGATTCCTGAAGTCTTTAATTTGTTCTCATTTATCACAAGTCCCTTAGGCTGAAAATAGCCAGGACTGAAGATGGGGGATGTGGCTGAGTCTGGCTGGGTGTCAGGAACTGATTCAAAGGTTTGTTTGTTTGTTTGTTTGTTTGTTTTTTAATTTATTTGGGTAGCCAACTCCCAGATCAGTCAGGGAGTCTTTCAGGTATATATAACTTAATTTTAGGGCTCTGTGGGGACCATCCTTTGGACCATTCTGGATCCTGCAGGTCCTAGTAACTAGATGGATCTAGACCTGGAGAAGACCTGCCTCTGGCCTTGTGTTCAGAATGCAAGTAGATATTAGCCACGTGAGGAGGTTATGGCAGCTTAAGTAGAAGCAAATCCAGGAATTTTAGAGCTGCTTAAAGATTATCTAGCTTAGTCCAAAGGGACTTTGAAGATGAGGAAACTGTAGTCCAGAGTGAGAATGATTTCATCTTTGATTTAGAAGGCAGTGTAGAAGCCATCCAGTCTGACCTGTCAACATCAGCATCTTCTTACAGTCTAGGAATGTCTCCTGCAGCATGCCTGATAGCTGGTCACCCAGAGGATGATACAGGGGAAATCATAATTTGTAAAGAGAGAACAGCTCTAATTAAAAGGAGCTAACTGCATTGAAATCTGCTTCCCTGTAGCTTTTATCTTCTCAGTAGTTCTAATTTACTTCCTTTCCTATGTAACATCCCCCAAAGCAAGACCTTCTCAAGTCCCCAAATTAGCAAATATCACTATATCATATACTTTCCTTAACTAAGTTAAAGTATAACTGAAAAAGAACTTTATTGATTCTGTAAAGACAGGGCATTCTGTATTCTTCCATGTGTTCAGAACTTCTTTTCTCAGCTAAGAATCGCTACTTTCTTGGTTTTCTTCACTTTCTCTTCATTTCTGTAACTGGCACTAGCACTCAGCTTTTTCTATGAAACTTTTAATAGATAAACCTACATTTTATCACTTCTTGTGTATAACTGTACAAAACTATCAGGAGTTTTGACAGCAGGACTCACCCCTATAACCTGTCTTCAGTTTCTCCGTTCATATTTGGTAGCTTTGGTGGGCCTCTCCATTTCTGTTACCTCCTTCTTAGCCTGTGAGTGACAGCTTCCCCACTGGTCTTCTTACCTCCAGCATTTTCCTGCCCAAATACAAATTCTTTGCTTCTGTTAGAATGACTTGTATAAAATGCAAATTTTATTGTGTTAACTTCTTTATTCAGTGGTTCCTCAACACCCATTGTTCCACAGATTTTCTGGTAAAGGACTCCTGATGATGGAGGAGCCCTGCTCAACTGGATTTCCAGGAGAGAATTAAACCCTGATGCCATTAGGCATCCATTGTATGTAAATGTATTAGCTTTTTGTCACTGCGTCTGGGATGGTGCTAGTTATGTACAATCTTGAGAACTGAAAAAATAGAACTCTAATCATTTTCTTTGTTCTGTGGTTCAGATTAGGAACCCAGTAAAAATGGAGGAGAGAAAAAATGTATGTTCTTCAGTGGGTCCAGAAGCATGACTTGGAACAACCTCCAGAAAAAAACCCAACACATTTCATTGAAGTCTGGGGTTTCATCTTTAAATGTGTGTGACTATTGCATTCTATTACATAATAAGTCCAGGGTTAAAAGTGTTTTAAAATATTTATCAGTGAATAAAATTGATTTTCCAAGAAGATTTGCCTGGGGTTCATGAACTACAAATAACTCCTTTTTTTTTTGAGCTCTGTAATGGACATTTTATATATAGTATACTACTTAGTCTGTAGGAAAATTGCCCAACATCACACAGCTTCAAATGTCAGAGTCAGTGTACTGACCCAATACATCTCAACTCTATTCTACAGCTTGAAGTTGAGAGTCAAGAGCCTACAAGTCTTTGCTCATTTCTAAGTTTATCTTGACCAGAAGGTAGGGTTTTTTTCTTGGTCAAGTTACTATCGTAATTTTTATAACTCCATACTTCTTTTTTTTTTAAGATTTTATTTACTTATTTTTAAAGAGAGGGAGAGAACCATCAGTGTGCAAGAGAAATGTCAGTTGGTTGGTTGCCTCTTGCATGTGCCCCAGTCAGCGACCAGGCCCACAACCCAGGCATGTGCCCTGACTAGGAACTGAAACTGGTGACCCTTTGCTTTGCAGGAATACACCCAGCCCACTGAACCATGCAGGTCAGGGCCTAATTCCATACTTCTTATGCAAAATGTAACTAACCTTGATGATCCAAAACAAAAATGAACAGTGATGCAGGTAATCCCATCTGATAGGGAATTGTGTCTCTCTTCATTGGATCTGAAACATTAAATGAGTTTTTAATAACAGATACACTTTTCTAATTGTTTTGGCTTAATGGTTATGGCCTTATTGTCATATTTTAAAATTTTATTTGCTTGTTTATTTATTTTAGAGAAAGAGAGGATGGGTGAGCTAGAAACATTGATTTGTTGTTCCACTTATTTATGTATTCATAAATAAGTGGATTCTTGTATGTGCCTTGACTAGAGATCAAACCTGCAACCCCTGCAGCCCTGGTGTATTGGGACGACACTCTAACCAACTGAGCTACCTGGCCAGGGCCTTGAATTATTGTCATTTCTTGAGTACTCTTTATCTAGTTATAGGAACTGGCTTTTTTTGGCAAGAGGAAGCCATCTTACTATTGAAAATTGGTCTCAGGTGAATCCCACCCAGATGACACAGAGTTGATTTCATTTGTGTATGCTTACCCAAAGCACTTGGAAAAGCATAAATGCTAAAGCACCAAGGCCTTAGAAGTTGCCCCCGACCCCCTGCCTCCCCAGTCTGACATTTACCTAGCCATCTGGGATCCAGTTTCTATTAGGTGTTCAGAGAGAACTTCTGGAATTCCCTGTCAGTGGTCACATTCAACACAGAATTTCAAGGAGATCTGGCCCCTTAGCTCCTCTGAGAAGCTGGAACAAGACTGAAATTACTGCTAACGGGGGGGATCGCAGTGGCTGTTTTCAGTCATCTCTGGCTGCACCTCTGAATGTCTGGTTCTTTCAGAAAGCTTGAATTAATGGGGGTCTAAGGGCATCCCCGAAATGGTGTACAGAGAGCCTTGTGAGATTCTTTTATTTGTAACCTCCTGCCTCCTTTGCTGTTCTAAACTCTCTTTTTACCATGAGTTACTAAAGATTGAATTTTAGTACCTTATATCCTTTACATTAAGTAAAAGAGGAAAGAGTTAGACTGGAAGGGAAAGTCCAGAGTTTGGGTTAGAAAACCCGTTGAGTCAAAGGGGAACTTAGCAGAGGAACGGAATGAAAATTATTTCCTTAGACAGTAGACAAATATTCAGGAAACACCTCTGCACCCCAAAGATAGGCACAGCTGCCACACAGTGCCTATTAAAGGGAGGTTCAAAGTTATGAGCAAACAGCTGATTCTCTTGGTTCTTGGGCTGTTGCTCTTGGTGACAGGAAATCTTCTTCCCCAAGCTGCTAGCTTCCTGTTTTATTTTTATTCTTAGCAGATCAGAATGTCCATAACAAGGAGCAGTCTGTTCAAAGGGGTTCTACTCCTTTTTGGAGGCTGAAGGGCTTTTTAAAAAACGTTTGGTCTGGTAGTATGTTGGTTCGCTTTTAAGATCTATGGTATTTAGCTTGGTGTAAGCATTTTGTATCCACAATCAACTTTTGGTGATGAACTGGTGGTATAAGATTTGATGTAAGTAAACCTCTGTTTTGCTTTTTTTGTTGCTTAAGAAGAATTTGGAATATTGGGGACTTGGGTGTGTTACCTTAATGTTTCACCTCTTTTGTCTGAAGCGAATCTGCCATTTCCCCTAGCACAAAAATCACTAGATGTTTTGGATGTCTTTAGTTTCACAAGATAGGGAAACAGGACCACAGCCCAGTGTGCCTTGGCTGGAGTCATAGCCATTTTGTTGAGACTAAAACCCGTCCCTATCCTTGTAAAGCTAGGAATTTGTTAATTAACTCTAAAACAATAGCTCAGCGTGAACCTGAAGTGCTGGGGGATTTCCTGGGGGAAAGGTTCAGCTGACAGGAGAAGAAACAGTAACTGGAAGGTTTCCGGATCTGCTCCAGACACTTCCTGCTGTCTCAAGAGCCTTTTGGCCCAGGTGTGTTGGACCGGATGGGAGGGAGAAAGGGAGCTGTTGGGCAGAAGAGAAAGGACTAAGGAATCTTAAAGCACGGTTTGCTCGGCGTCATGTTTGACATTGAACATGTAAAATTTTCCTTGATATTCTTTCTGTCAATTTACAGACTAAACTTTAGTAGTGTTAATGGATACTGGCAGCTAGTATTTAGTCGTATATTAACAGTCATTCATTAGGGAAGAACTGGAGAAGTTATGTCCTCATGTAGATCAGTGGAATCACTATTAGTCATTGTGGAAATTATCAGATGACAGAAGCTCTTTTTTGATCCTTGTAATTGATCATCTGGAATCCGCTCTGTCCTGCTACGGACTCCCCAAGGACAGGATCTGTAACATCTAGAATCTGCTGAATGGGCTGTTTTCTGAACATGCCTCCTTGCCTCTGGAGATTCTTGTTGGTTGAAGCGTCGTTGTTATTTTAAGGTTTTTAGGTTTTTTATGCTGCTGTGGTACCTTAGCCAGCACTCACCAGTTCAGAATTTCTAAACTTATCTAGCAAGCCTTCTATTAGCAAACCTTAAAAGGGGGGCAGGGGAGAATAGAGGATGGGTCTTAAGAAAGAGAGAACAAAAGAGAAGATGTTTTAAAAAGCTGTTTTAGTTCATATCAAGACAAAAGAGAAAGAGACTCACACAGCCCTGTGTGCCTGGAATTTGTGGTTGAGTAATACTTTCCTGTTATTTCTTTTTTAGGTTGTTTTTCATCATTTAGAACATTGCCTGAAGCAGGTCCACCATGCCGCTAGTAACGAGGAACATCGAGCCAAGGCACCTGTGCCGTCAGACGTTGCCTAGCGTTAGAAGCGAGGAGCTGGAATGCGTGACCAACATCAGCCTGGCAAATGTCATCCGACAGCTGGGCAGCCTGAGTGAGTGCCGCAGAGAGCCTGTGCTTTGCCCTCAGGGGTCGTTGGTGCTCTTTATTTAGTTTCCCTCTCCTCCCGTGTTCCTATTTCTCCCCCATCTGCCTTCCCTAGGTAATGCAAAAATGCATCCCACCCCCCTTTCCCCAAAGAGAGACTCCTTTTTGGTACAGATTCTTCCCCTCAACCTTGTCTTCATCTGCCACCACCCTCTAGGCTCCCTCCACCTCCCTCTCCACCTGCTTCAGAAGAAATCTGTGGGAAGGGTGGCAGGAAGGGCTGCAGCAGAAACTGCAGATGGAATGACAGAGCAGAATTCTCTGTGTGTAAAGTGGGAGGTTCACAGAACAGTATCTTGGGTTAGGGAATGTGTCTGTAATTGCACGAGCTGTTCGATGTAGCCTGACTTTTGTTGAAGCCTCAAATGTGCCAATAGGCTTTATCTACCCGACATTCCACACTCCCTCCCCTTTCTTCCCAAAGAGGAGTAAAGCAAACATGCACTCAGAGAGATTCTGGCGGACTTGTCTACCATGGTACACATTTAATTGTGCTGCAAGCCCCCAGGTCCAAGTTCAGGGTACAAATTACTTCTGCAGTCTCTGAGGTATTGGGAGTTTTGCAAGCTGCGTGAGCACACAGTGACACAAATTGTAGCTGTAGCCATTCTTCTCTAGGAGGAAGATGGGGGAGTAGCCCAGTCTGTTTTGGAGCTGAGGGAAAGCCAGCTTAACTGTAATTTATTTTTTAATTGGCAAGAATGAATGAGACTGTGTTGGGTGGGGTACATGCATGTGGTTTGGATTTCATTCTGAATCAAGCTGAATTTGTTTGCCTGAAGTTGAGGTATGGGAAGGACAGATGCTTGGATAGGCTGTGCATTTATCTAGTGCCACTCCAGCTCCCCATAAGAACTTCCGTCAAAATGCCATTTTAGTGATCTTTTTTCGCAAAGGCATCTTTGTGTGAATTATTTCAGACATTCACCCCTGCTGTCGCATCACTGCCCTTAGTGAAGGCAGTGGAGTATCAAGAAAGCCTGCATTCCCCCAGATGGTAATAGGCCCTGCCTTTAAAATGGGGGCCTGAGGAGACAGAGCTCAGTGACCAGATGATATATGGGGTCCAAGATTCCTAAGCCTTCACCCAGCTCAGAGACCATCTTGGTTGATCCAGGGCTTAGGGAAACCTCGAGGGGTGTCATGAAGAAATGAAACCCTGTCGATGCCTGTCTTACACAAAGGAACATTGACAGCAGTACAACAGCAGTGCGGCTGACAAGGAAGCACATGAAGGCTGCAGAGAGCCTCACTGCTTCTTAAAAGCATCATTTCTGCTTCTGTCACCCTGAGAAGGCCAAATGGGTGGAAGTCAATCACACACTGGTTCCTCCTCCATAAGACAAAGGACAGCTAGCTAATGATGCTTCTTATTCTCACTCAGCAGGAGTTATGCTCTCTCTCAGGTGTTTTTTTTTTTTCAGGATAGTGGTGATGGATGCCATTCTCACTCTTCCACTTGTGATCAGACCACTTCCATCTGAAGGAAGCTGATCTGAGGGCAGGGTCAGCTTGTGCCTACAGAAACAAGATTTCTTTACATCCTGCAGCTGACCAACCCTTTATTCATCCTATAAACATGTACTGAACATATTTTATGTGCCAAATGCTGAGGGATACAGCCATAATAAGAAATGGTATTTCTGCCCCTGGCTGGGTAGCTCTGTTGGTTAGTTGGTTAAAGCATTGTCTGGATACACCAAGGTTGCAGGTTTGATCCCTGGTCAGGGCACATACAAGAAGCAACCAATAAATGCATAAATAAGTGGAACAACAAACCGATCTCTCTCTCTCTCTCTCTCTCTCTCTCTCTCTCTCCCCCCCCTTCCTCCCTCTTTTTTCCTTTCCCTTTCCTTCCCTTCCTCTCTCCCTAAGATCAAGAAATTTAAAAAAAGAAAGAAAAAAAAAAAAGAAATGATCTGTGCTTTCCAGCAGCTTATAATCTATCAGAAGAGACAGAAATAAACAGTTCCTCAGGGGAGAATGGGCAGAGGGTGAGACGGGAACTCACATTTGGTAATTGCCTACTTTATGCCAGGCTTAAATAGGATCTTGGCATAATTTATTTCATTTAATCCTCAATAATTCTGTGAGGGTAGGTGGTAGTATTCCCATTTTTCAGATGAAGAAATGAAGGCTCAAAAAAATAAGTAACTGGCCTAAAGAGACAACAGCCAGTGAGAGGCAGGTCAGACTTCCTAAGGATTTCTCATCTCGGTCCTCTGCCGTCTCTGTCAGTAGGGCCCTGGTTCAGACCTTTGTTGACTCTCTCCTAATCTATTACCCTAGCCTCCCTCTGGCCTTCCTTTCTCTGATCAACCCCCTTAAATCTAGAAATCTAAATATCTTAAAAATCTTAAACCTGTACCCCTGCCACAATGGTCTGCCCAAAACACAAATCTCACTTTCTATTTCTATGATTCTGAATTGTTTGATTTTTTAAAAGTTAAGACTGTGCTTACTTTTGTCATTTAAAAAGTGTTTTTAAACTAAGAGTGCACATGTTAATAACTATCTCCCCTGTTCATTATGGAATTATCTAAGCTTCTTGGTCTGGCATTCAAGACCCTTCAAGACCTGCCTTCCTTTCCAGGCTCATTTTCTGCAATATGCCTTCTTCTATTTTATAGTCTTTAAAAAGACTTTTTTAAAAGGAAAAAAGAGGGGGGGGGAGGGAAGAAGAAAGAACGAATTATCAGCTACATGAGGTTCCTCTCAGCGCATACTTTCATGCCTCCACGCAGGGCCCTTGCTGTTCCCCCTGCCTGGAGAGCCCTTGCCATCCTTATAGCTGATCTTTAAGGCCCAGCTTAGGGATTTTCTCGTTAAAATTGGACTGAGTGTTCCTCTGAGCTCCTATTACATTCGTATATTATTACTTCCCATGTTATATTGAAAATTACCTATATCTCTTAAAAGTTCTTTGAAGGCAGAAATCGTGTATTGTTGGAGTTCAGTAAATGTTTGTGAATGTCATACCTGTATTCTCTTCAGCATTTCATGCTGTTGGTGCACAGTGAACACAGAAAAGGAAGGAATGAATACTGTCTATAGGGAGTGGGAGCCCAGGTGCGAATAAGGAAGGTCATGGAAGGCTGCATAGAAAAGGTTACATTTGAACCAGGTTTTGAAAGATGCTAGGGTTTCATCTAGCAGAGAGGGGCACAGGAATGGGCTCACATGTGATTCGAGCTTATGGTCTTGGCCTCATGCACTGTACTGGAACCAGAAGTGCTCGGGCTAGTAAAGAAAGTGTGATTATGGAATGGATAAAGCACAAAGCTGAAAATTCCACAGCTGCGGATTGCTTTGTGATAGCATATCCAGAATTCTTATTTTCCCTTAGTGCAGTGAGATTGGTATTTCACATACTAGGTTGCCATATCTTAGGAATAAAGGCACAGCCAGTCAGCAAGCACTGTTAACCACCTAGGTGAGTGGGACCCCCACAAGGGTCATTAAGAAATCATGCTCTGATATTGGGTTTTCTAGCCATGTGTAGTGGGCCATGACATTGTGTGTGTGTGTGTGTGTGTGTGTGCGCGCGCGTGCGTGCGCGCGCGCGGGGGTGGGGCATGCTCCAAGGCTCCTACTCAGACTTCAACAAGAGAGCTTCACCTTTTTTAAATCAGTTTTACCTGTTCTAGTTCAACATAAGATTTTGTTTGAAGAGTTCTACTGCAAAGGGAAAAAAAATTGGTTACTGCTTCCAAAATCTTTTGCAAAGTGTGGTATCTATTATGAATGTCCTGATGTCATAGTGGATCCATCTTGTAACCTGAATGAGTGAAATTTAACTCAGAACAAGGCACTCTGGTTTTCTCCTGAGGTCAGACTAATTTTTAATACTTGAAGAATAGGGACTATCAAATTACTGACTGGAATTGTATTTAAAATTTTCTCTAAGCATACAACTTGGGATATTTAGTTATTCCCACTTTTAAAAGTCATTTGATATGGTTGAGCAATATAAGGAAGAATCTCATTGTAACAGCTTACATTTTTAGTTCATTTAATCTTAACAGCAACTCAGTGAGGTAGATACAGTCATCCTTGTTTTACCGATGAGGAAACAAGCTGAGAGGTTGTGATTTGCTGAAGAGCACACAAGTGTAAATAGAAAAAACTGAGACTTAAATCTATATTTTGAAGTCCACGGCTTCTCCATGTATCATCTTGTAGTTCTGAGTATGCCTAGGGCACGGTACAATGTGATGGTGGGGAAACCTTCACACCACTCCACTTTCTCTTTCCAATAGCGTTCTCCATGTTACCGTTTTTATACGTTGGGTTTCTTTGTAAGATTTTTATCTTGAAAATCCCTGTGCCACAGTAAGTCTCTACCTCCACTGTCACTTCTCCTTTCCCCAGGCAGCAGGAAATTCTGGGTGCTCTCTTGGTGACCTAAAGGTAAATTAATTTGGGTTTTTCTTTTCCTCCAGAACAGCTATATGGGCAACAGATATTTTTGAGCCTGGTTTATTTTCCACAAGTAATGTTGCATGTTTCTCTGCTTTAACCTTACACTCATAGTTTTCTGTTACCTGGATGAGCATGGTGCAATGTGGTTTTTACAGGAACTTTGCCATGTTATGGACAGAGATCAGGTAGGATCCTCAGCCTGCCCAGTAGAAGTGCAGCTTGTTAGCCAATTTGAGTCCTTTGAGCCCAGGAGCTTCCCATGGTTGTTTCAGTAACAAAACCATTCAGCGTACAAAGACTTGCTCCTTTCCTTGAATAGGAACTCCTTATTGATGAAATGTACCAGCAGTTCAAAATATGTAGTTGATTGGTCTTATCCTTACTCTCAGGTGACACTGAGAAGGTGAGCTGCAGTTCGCCTGAGATGGCGCGATTTTGGCCTTTTGGACTAATTTTTATCAAGTGTGGATTAAGCATAAAAGAAGTTTAGAAGCTAAAAATCAGAGCCCATGTTAAATAGTTCTCAAAGAAATTATCTTTTGGTTGAGCACAGTCACTTAAGCCTACCTTCACCGTGCAAGTAAAAAACTCAGATGGTATGTTTGTATGAACCACTTTTCATTCCTAGCAAGAATGTGCTTTGTGGCTTGGAATGACAATATGAAGGTAGCGTCAAATTTCTATTATGTTTCTTTGGCTGCAAATTCTCCTTACATTCCAGGGTTGAAAATACAGAAATCTACAGAACTCTTCTTTTTCTTAAAAAAAAAAAAAAAAGACATTGTGGAAAGAGAGCACTGGTATGTTGTTTTTCAGGGAGGTTTAGCTTCTCTTTTTCCCTGAGATGTAGATTGAAGGACTATAGAGCAAGACTTCCAAAGTTGTAGGTTATAAAACATAAAATAAGCTTTTCACTCCTTAGAAGAAGTTGTAAGTCTTTGCTGTGAGTTGCTCATAAGTTAGTTCGAGGCTCCTTGAAGATAGCATTACTCATCATGGTTGTTCAATATACTTTTAAGGCTTCACTGAGGGTATAATTTCTTGTTTTTCATGTTAATTGTAGATAGCTAGAAGGTCCTTCTAACTACCAATCTGTTTTCCAGAACCATTTTACAAGGTGCTTTTACAGAGTAGCAAGGGGCTTAGGGCTATAGGTAAACGTGTAGACATATTATCTCCCCTTCCAGGATTCATCTTTTTGTATTACACCTTCCTGTGCAGCCTGCTTTGAGGTTTCTGACTGTTCAGAAACAGGGTTTGCCAAGAAGACCCTTAGTTATAGGACATGTGCACTGTCCATGTTCTGGAGGATCTGTCCCCGCCTCCGAGACCAAGCACCTGCATATAACCCAACCCATCTTGAGGTGGGGCGTGGAGAGGAGTGGGCAATATGATCTTTAATAGCCAGTTTTTCTGACCATTTATGTCACTTTTATCCACTAATGACTTGGTTTCTCTCTTCTTTCAGGTAAATATGCAGAGGATATTTTTGGAGAGCTCTTTACTCAGGCAAATACCTTCGCCTCTCGGGTAAGCTCCCTTGCTGAGAGGGTTGACCGCCTACAAGTTAAAGTCACTCAGCTGGATCCCAAGGAAGAAGAAGGTAAGGAAGCTGAGCTCAGCATTTGCAGGCTCTGTTGAACAGTTGCTTAGAATTTTTTTCCTGATTTATAAAGAAAAGTGAGGGGAAAAATCGCAGAAACCTATGGAGTTCTGCTTTGAAATGACACCAGTCTGGGTGGGGCAGAGAAACCTTTTTAGCTCTGCCACACTCCCACACACTCCCTCTCCCATTCCCCCAATTCCCTTTCTCAAATCCCCCCTCCCCCAATCTTACTTTGCTACCATAAAAGTACTTGGAAGATTCATTTTTCCTCAGGAGAGGCCTGCACGATCTGGCCACATAGTAAACCTTTGTGTTGCCTCATTTTTGCTCGGTCGTGAAATGGCTGGGCTGCTGACAGCCTTGTGGGGCTTCCCCAGAGGCCGAGAAAAAAACCTGGCTGCAGACAGCCGCAGCCAAGAAACGGAGCAGCTGAGGCCTCTCCGGCTGGTGTGACTCAGTGCTTGCTCCGAAAGCCTGCTGTCCACTTTCTGATGCCTCCCCTCCCCTCTCAGTGTCGCTGCAGGGAATCAATACCCGGAAGGCCTTCCGAAGCTCTACCACGCAAGACCAGAAGCTTTTTGACAGAAACTCTCTCCCAGTGCCTGTCTTGGAAACGTACAACACCTGCGATGCCCCTCCACCTCTCAACAACCTTACCCCTTACAGGTAACCTGGCTAGCTCCTCCCCTTTTTTGGCCTGTGGTTAAAATATTAGATTGTCTTTTTATTTAAAGATATTGTTTACATCAGAGAATTGTATCAAAAAGCTTATTACCTACCCCAGAGTTGCTTGTGGCAGTGGAAGCCAACATTTACCACATAAACATTGTGACTTGTTATTGTCGGGTTTCTGAAATTCATAGTAAATGTAATATATTTTGAAAGTTTGCTGTAGTATTGCATGCTGCAGAGTTTAATTTGGTGTGGCCAGGTCCATCTTGGATTCCATCCAAGGAATTTAGTTATTATAGAACCAAAAGGACTTTGTTATAAGACAGTCCTGTAGCATGCATCCCAGGGGCAACATTCGAGCAAGGCTCCCACTTACCCGGAAACCACTAGATTACCAGATGTTTGGGCGCGTTAGTGGGGCCAGCCTTGTGGACTGGCTGCTCTGGGCCCTGAGGGTCCTTCCAGAGCTTAAGGAGTGACTGGCATTTTTCCAAATGAGTATTGTTCACTTTCTGAACATCCTTTCAGCATTCCCCTCTGAAAGGACCTACACTGCTGGCTGGATGTTAAAAAAAGAAGGTAGCCTTATAGGCACCTTCCAGCCTTTCCCCTCTCGTGGTCTGGTAGTGTTACCATCCTGCAAATAACCACTGAGCAGGGGCAGAAAGCAAATATTTATCTTGCTTGCATCCATAAATATCTTTGGAATGGGTAAAAAGTAATTACAGATAACTGAAGGCAGGTATCTTCTGTGATACATGGGTATACAGCAAAGTAGAGCTTATGGGAGGAGATTCAAGGACACGCACCTGATCCGGAGAGCCTGGAATGGGAGCATGGTGGCTTCTCACACAGATACCGAGAACGTATATGGCATCTCTCCTATATTATTATTGTGTGAAACTGTGTCTCTTGGCTTTTGAAGGGGCTAGCTGGCATAGTTGGACAGAGATTTGACTCTGCAGCCTTGATCATTTGCTTGCTTTCGGGCAGAGTAGTTGTGGGGCAGAAGGGAGCACACACTTGATTAATACTGAAGGGAGTATGGTAGGGTACTGTAGGGTAGGATGAGCAAGTGATATAAAACAGGTTTGTTTTTTAGGTATGGTGTTTTCCTTTTTAACTTTCTCCTTTCAGTTATCTGAATTTTGCCTAACAGAAATGAGAAAAGGTGTAGCTAAATCAATAAGATTTAATATAAAAATCATTAGTGTTTGATTTGGACCTGCTTTCTGTGTGTTGTGATAGGATTGGAAGCCAGGGCATAGAATTGCCTTTCTAATTCTTTGAGTTCAGAATAGTATTAAAATAAATGTCCACCCCTAAGCATATGCTTTCTCGAAAGTGAAAGAGACTGGTGCCAAAGTGCAGGATTCTAACCAGTATGATCGAATCTAAAAGATAACTCCTGCCCTAACACTCAGTAACTCACTCTATTCTGTCACAGCCACTAAAAGATGGTAATTAAATCTTGTGGTCTGTCCATCTAAAACATCTGGCCATCTTCTCAATGGGGCCCCCTAGTGGTTGGGGAGCTGGGGGCAGGTGCTGAGCTATGCTAGAAGAGAGCAAGAAGGTGGAGTGCTGTGGTTATCTCTTTTCAGAGGAATAACAGCTGCCCACTTATATACATTGATCTGTATATATGTATACATGGGTACAAATGTGAACCTACGCGTGTGCACAGGTTTCAGGTGGGTGGGAAGCCACAAATGCTTTCTAAAGGGTCCAGAGAAATTGGTGCGAGGGAAGAGAACCGATGGCGGAAATCCCCTCTGATGTGCCAGGGTATCCAGATATCCTCAGGGAGATGGCTGTAGCCATGCAGATCATTAGAAATAACCAGGATTCCCTGTTGCTATAGCCCATTCTTTGTCCTGACCATGCATATTCCTCTACCAGGAATTGAAAGTAAGGCTAAGGTTCTTTAAAACCCAGATAAATACAGAGGTGGCATTCAAGAGGCATTGGAATGCTGATATGGGAGAGAAAGTGTGCAATCAATTTGAATGACTTCTTGATTCTTTAGTGTAAAAACTGCTAACTGGTAGGTATTTGGAATATTGGATTTGGTTAGGAGCTCATCTGTCTACTGACAGCTACTTATCTTCATTTCTATCCCAGGGACGATGGGAAAGAGGCACTCAAATTCTACACAGACCCTTCGTACTTCTTTGATCTTTGGAAGGAGAAGATGCTGCAGGACACCAAGGATATCATGAAAGAGAAGAGAAAGCATAGGGTGAGGGGAAAGGGGCCTCTGTTCTACACATCAGTAGGCACGATTGTGGAGGGGGGATAAAAAGGAAGCCAATCTTATGTGAAGTAATCATTCCAAGTGGTTGCTTGCTTGGATGCCAGGTGAAACTCTTTAAAAAAAAATGTGTCCACTCCAAGCACAACCAAGATGAAAGTATAAATCACACCAAAAATGTGTTTGTTCCCCCCAGCACTATTAACAGTTGAGTATATTCAGGCTGAGTTTTAGAAATTGACTTTTCTATTCACCATTTATTTCTCTTGCAATTTGCACCTGGCTCTGCTGGACATTCAAGCTAGGCTGGTCCCTTCCCTGCCAGTTTTGCAGCTCATTTCTCAGAGATCAGCACAAGGCTGTACAGTGTTTGATTTGCAACAGGAGCACTTAATACCTTCACTACTGGTGGGTGGGGCGGGGGAGGGACATAGGCCTGGTTTCAGGAGATGCTCCTCTCCCCTTAGACCCCCAGTGATGTATATAAGCATATATGACCTACCAGTTACAACCTCACAATCCCATTAGCATGGCTGACAGGAGGCCCAAGAGAGTGCCAGGGGCTAGTCAGCCACACAGGCTGAAGAATCCCTCCTTGGCTGTTTTGTTTTGTTTTAACTATTTCTTTATACCTGCCTCAGATATCTACAGCTATCATTACTTCTCATTTCTCTTGACTAACGTTAGTGGCAGAGTCAGTAACAAGGAGCTATTTACTAACTTCCTAACAATTAGAGCTGCTCAAAAACATGAATGAGTTACGCAAAAAGGTAGTGAGTTTCTCATCACTAGAGGTGTTTGAGCCCAGAAGGTAGTTTGGATTAGGTGACTTCTGTGTCACTTGAAACCCAGTAAATTCTGTAAATTCTGTAGTTACTATATGTTGTCTAGGCAAGTCATCTGGGGGGGGTGGGGGGAGTGCATCCGTGAGCGGGGGTGGAATTGTAGAGAACTTTGGAAAATGTTTTACAAAGGATCTTCTATTTCTTTTCATCATAGAAAGAAAAGAAGGATAATCCAAATAGAGGGAACGTAAACCCACGTAAAATCAAGACACGTAAGGAAGAGTGGGAGAAAATGAAGATGGGACAAGAATTTGTGGAATCCAAAGAAAAGCTGGGGCCTTCGGGGTAGGTGATGTTTCTGTTCTGTCGGTGGCAGTCTTTGAAGGGGCTGGAAAACGCCAGTCGGACCGCTGTGGTGGGACGCCTTTCACAGCTCCTGATGTCTGGCTGTGTGGCTCCACTCGATACCACTGTTAATCAGCTACTTTGAAGTGCACCCATCTGGTGACTAAAATTTGGTAAATAAATCAAGGCTCCGCAGTTTAAATGAGGTGACCGAAGTGGTCTGGAAAAGAGAGTTTGTGGCTTCTAGTCCCTGACTCTGCCAGACGATGGTTGTCCAAGGGCCTCAGAGGAAATACTGGAAAGGAAAGAAAAGCGGTCCTGGGAGCCCTTGGCCTCCAGAGCATTTGGCTTGAAAGTAGTGCCTGAGAGCCGGGCCTTCCACCGGAGTGGGGACGGCCCGGTGGAGAATCCGTGCACATCTCCAAAGCAGCTTCTCCATCGGCCTTTGCCAGTCTCGGGGGAGAGGCGGGCCAAGGGACTGGGAGCGGACCTCGAGGCAGTGTGGGAGAGGTCGCTCAGCCGGCACTGAGGTTGTGTATCTCCACAGAGAAATGGTGGGTGTCAGTCTGAGCCCATTTCCCAATACCAGGCCCCACTAGAGGTTTAAAAGGGCGGGGGATGGTTTTAAAACTCGGTTTGATGCTTATGCTAGTGTCCAACCTGTGTGACATCCACAGTCAAGTCACCACGACTGCTTGGTGGAGTGTCGCCCTGGCTTTTCCCCTAAATACATTGCCTCCTGACTGTCAGAGAACCGTGCCAGCTGGTGCCGGGTGTCTAGGAATGATGAAAGGAGAGAGTTGAGTTGTTCTTGCTTTTAGAAATAACTCTACCATGAAAATCTTGACTTTTAAAAATCTTGACACTTCTGACACTTGTTCTTCCTGGATTAAGAGGTTTGTTCTAAACAGCGAGGAGGATGGCGAGAGGGAAAACGAGTCTTTCTCTCTACAGGGAATCGGCCCTGAGGGCGCCTCTGTTACCTTCGCCTCCCAGTGAAAGGGCCATTTTGATTCTGTGCGGTCCCGTCCTGCTCAGACAGGCCCTTGTCGTAGGTTCAGTGACTCCAAGGCCAGGAGCTTGCATATTTAGTATATGCCAACTATTTTGTGGGGTTGCTTTTTTAAAATTATTTTTAATTTTTTACATTTTTTTATGGAATGGGGATGGTAAAAATAAGGACTTTGCCTCCCATTTCCCTGTTGTCGAAGAGATTTGGGATCGGGCTCCATGGCTGTCTGCCGGGTTGTGCTTGAGACGAACCTGTGAAGAGATGTGCCAGGCTTGCAGGGCCCCGGCCGCGGGGGGTTTCCGCATCAGCGCACCCTTTGATTCCGTTAGTTCCCTCCAACTCTCCTCTCCCTGAGGTCTATTTTAAATGTGTTCCTTAGAACCCCACAATGGTGGCAAGAAGGAGGTGGGGTGCGACAGGCCACATTTTGCTAGCTGCTGCTTGGCATTTGTTTGTTTGTTTGTTTTTGTTTATTTGGAAGTTTATTGTTCACCCAGAGCATATTCACCCAGGGCCCAGTGCTCTGAGGGGCGGGTTTTCACGAGGCAAGCCCCAGCACCATGCCTTAGCACCCTGCTCTAATCAGCAGCTCATTACTGATACGAGTCCTGATACAGAGGCCATGTCTGACTACCACACAGCACCTTGCACTCGTCCTCAGTTTGGTTTCGCGGTCAGATGCCTCCTTGGCCTTTGAGCACTCCAGAGGCTTGCCGGCCTCGGAACCAGGCTGTGCACCGGTCACGTGACTGTAGCTCACTAGCCTCACTAGCCTTGGGGCTTGGCTTAGCCCTTTGCCACCAGACAGACATTGGGATTTGGGGTTAGGCTACCGCTATCCAAAGGCTAACATTTGGGAGAGAAGTTAAAAGAACTGCTGGGTTTTTTTGTTTTTGTTTTTAATCCTCACCTGGGGATATATTTATTCATTGGTTTTAGAGAGAGAGGCAGGGGGTGGGGGGGCGGGGAAGAGAGAGAAACATCAATCAGTTGTCTCCCATACATTGCCTGACTGGTGACCAAACCTTCAACCCAGGGTAGTTATGTGCCCTAACTGGGATTGAGCCTGTGACCTTTCAGTGTACAGGATGATGCTCCAGCCACTGAGCCACACCAGCCAGGGCAGAACTGCTGGGTTTTTGATGAAGCCAACACTGAGAAAGGATTAGCATAATTTTGGTAGTCTGGGCTGAATCCCATTCCTACAAATAATCCAGCAGAAATACCTGGGAGATGGTAACAATAGCATATTTAGTCTTAGTATAAAATTTTAGTATAACAAAAACTGTGGGGAATATACTTACTTTATTTCCCCCTGATAGCTTTTGTACCAGATACATTTTTGAGGGGTCTCTTAAGAAAATGAGAACCCTGGCTGGTGTTGCTCAGTGGATTGAGTGCTGGCCTGCGAAGCAAAGGGTTGCCAGTTCGATTCCCAGTTAGGGCACATGCCTGGGTTGTGGACCAGCTCCCCAGTAGGGGGAGCACAGGAGGCAACCACACACTGATGTTTCTCACCCTTTCTTTCTCCCTTCTTTCCCCTCTCTAAAAATAATAAATAAAATCTTTAAAAGAAAAAAATGAGAGTATCACTGACCTTTTAAATGACACTCTTCATGTTGGGTCCACTGTCAGGTACCCACCCACCTTGGTGTACCAGAATGGCAGCATCGGCTCTGTTGAAAATATGGATGCAAGCAACTACCCACCACCACCACTGTCAGACTCCACCTCTCCACCTTCTTCCTTCTCAGAGGACAGCTTGCCTCCGCCTCCCGTGGAATTCAGGTAAATGATGGTACCTTTCCATCTACTCTGGGTAGTTAAAAACTCAAGAACAAACCAGAGCTCCAGATCCAGGCCAGGACCACTAACATAATGTCAAGCAACTCTGTCTAGATAATACAAATAATTAATATTTATCAAGTGTTTGTAAGGTGCCAGGCATTGTGCCAAATGGTATATATGTTACTAAATTCTCACAAGAGTCCTCTTGAGATAGGTACCCATTTTACAGATGAGTAAATGGCAAGACACAGAGAGTTCAGTGAACTTACCTGTGGTCACAGAGCCAGTAAGAGGCAGAATCCAGCTGATTGGAAAGCAGCTCTGTGACTCCAGAGCCTGTGTTCTGTACTGCGAGCTACACCCGAAAAAATAGAAGTCACCAAACTAGTGTCTTGTATTTTACTTAGCTTTAACTCAGCATGAACTGAAGCGGTGTAATTTACTATCCGTAAAATATTTATGACACCTTGTCCAATTATCTAGGAACCTAGCAGACAGTCACCTTTTTCTCCTGTTGCTCCTGGTTCATTTCCCTGTTGGATAGACTCTCCAGAGAGAATGAAACAAAGAGAAAGGAGAGATGAATTGAGAACCTGTTTATTTTGATATTTGTCAGTGTCCCTGGCAGGGGTACACAGGGAAAAGAGTTAGCAAGTGCTGGCCGGCAAGGGCCGTTAGGTGTGTTCGCATTTCAGTTTCCTCACAGTCACTTTTAACTTTCTGGTGCCAGGTACCCTGTTGTCCTTGGACACTGTTCTGTCAGAGGCTGGATATGTTGGGGACCCCTCAGCTGGAAACCCAAAGCAGTGCTCCACACATCCCTCCTACCCCCATTTTTCTTGGCTCTTGAAACCACGAATCCCAAATCTCCTTCTGCCTCCCAAATCACTTCCTGCCGGTTTTTGTGTCAGATGCAGCTAAGGCTCGAAGGTCTGTGGAAAATTCCAAGATGGATGCTTTTCTAAGGAGCAGCTGTTAGTGCAGGGCAGATACAAATTTGGAAAAAGAAGCCCTCGGCCTCACATGTGGCCTGAGACCTTGTAGCTGAGCATGCCTGACCCCACAGAGGTGCACCTTAATCCTCTCAGCCCAGCTCAAGTCTGGTGGCACATCCATTTCCTGTCTCTGCTGACCTCAGACCCTCCATTCTTTCCCAGGTTTTTACACATGAACTCTGAAAATACCTTGCCTAAATCTGTACCCCGCTCAGGTTTGGTCAGCTTGGCTTGGGTTTCCTGCCCTTGTACGATCTAGTGAATGTTAATAGCCTGAGGAACAGAAGGTGGGTGGGTGGTGGCTCTTCCTTGCATGTCTTCATATTCCTGGCTCCTGGATTAAACCGACTATTCCTGCCCTGACTGGTGTGGCTCAGTGGGTTGGACCAGACCAAAGGGTCACCGGGTCAGTTCCTGGTCAGGGCACATGCCTGGGTTGCAGGCAGGGTCCCTGGTTGGGACCTTGCGAGAGGCAAGTGATTAATGTGTCTCTCACACGTTGATGCTTTTCTCCCTCTTTCTCCCTCCCTTTCCCTCTCTCTAAAAATAAATAATTTCTTTTTTAATTTAAAAGCCTAACTGTTCCTTTTAGAGGAAGGGTTAAGGAGAAGACCTTTTCTTAGAGAGCTGAAACCTAGGTGATGATCTTGACCAGCCCCTCTCTACTGCTTCAGGTAGTTTTTCTCAATTTCTGCTTAGACTCCTCTGCTGATGAGAAGCTCATTACCTTACAGGGCTGCCCATTTCATTGTTAGTCTGTTCTGACCATTTCCAGGTTATTCTTTCCATTCGATCGAAAATGAAATGATATAGTCAATCACAGTGAATTTAGGCTTGTAGATTAACTAACTTGCCTACAGGTGGATATTTGCATCCTGAAAGTAATGGTGCATCTTTTCTTTTTAGCTACCCAGCAGACAACCAAAGGGGTTCTGGCTTAGCTGGACCCAAAAGATCCAGTTTGGTCAGCCCAAGCCATCCACCACCAGCTCCTCCTCTGGGCACTCCACCAGGCCCCAAGCCTGGCTTTGCTCCACCCTCTGCCCCTCCACCTCCACCTCCAATGATAAATGTCCCACCCCCACCGCCACTTGGAGAATTTGTATCCCCAGTGACCCCACCACCACCTTCACCACCCTCTTTCCCACCTCACCCTGATTTTGCTGCCCCTCCACCTCCTCCCCCGCCACCGGCAGCTGACTACCCAACCCTCTCACCACTTCCCTCATCCCAACCAACAGGAGGGGCTCCTCCTCCTCCCCCTCCGCCCCCTCCTCCTGGGCCACCTCCTCACCTTTACTATGATCCAGATGGCCAGCCTGCTGCACCACCACCACCACTTTCTGATACACCCAAGTCCAAGTCCTCCTTGCCTCCTGTGAGTGATGCCCGCAGCGACTTGCTTTCAGCCATCCGTCAAGGTAAATCCCAGTGGTGGTCCGGGACCGTGAAGCATTGTCTTTCTGCAGCTGAATGACCGGTTGGAGGGTGGGCGAGGGGTTCTGTTCCCTTCCCAGGGAATAGCTTTCATTGGAGGGAGAGAGGTGGGGACCTTAGGCCTCAGGCCTTTTCAGCCTGAAGAAAGACTTTACCCTAAAAATATGGGGATTTAGATTTTTTCCATCCTGGTTTAAAGTAAAGAATTCTTAACCTGGGATCATTGAACTCCTTGAAAATTGTGCTTTGTGCCTGTTTGTGTCCATTTTGTGCCCCAGAGAAAAACAAGAATCACTGTCATAACAGGTACTTCTTCAGCTGAACTCAGTCCTTGTTCACTTTTTGCCTTTCATATTCTTCCTTTCTGCTCGCTTTCCCTCTTTCCCACCCATTCCCTTCTCCCTATTTTTTCCCCAACCCTGTCCCTCCTCCGTCTCCTTTTCTCCCCTCCTTCCTCCTCTCATCATCGTCTCACCCTCATGGAGCATTTTTTTCTTTCTGTCAGAGTCCAGGTCAGGCGCCAGGGGCTAGAGTGGCTTCCTGTTTGCGAGCCTCAGGGAACGAGCACTGTCTGAAGGGGACAGCCCGGGGCTCTGTGGGCGTCAGCGAGTCGGGCAGGCCGTGTGCCTGCTCAGGGGGCTGTGGTGGCCAGTCCCCACTCAGAGCCTCGTGAGGGCTGCCACCCTCACCAGCCCGAGTGCTGGAAACGGGGAAGGACGACAGGCTGTCTTTCAGTCGTACCTGAAATGGTATGCACCAGGGCCACCATTTCATAAACCTTCGTTTTTGTTTTTTCCTGCTTCCTCCTTTCCTGAGGATCCTTCTCTTTTGCTGTCCCTTCCCATGTTCTACCAGCCAGCGGCCATTCTCCCTCCCTCAGCCCTGCATGGGTTCTGAGACTGACTCACCTTCTTCGTAACCCTTCTCTCTCTCCCACTAGGATTTCAGCTGCGCAAGGTTGAGGAACAGCAGGAGCAAGAGAAGCGGGATGTTGTGGGCAATGACGTGGCCACCATCTTGTCCCGTCGTATTGCTGTTGAGTACAGTGACTCAGAAGACGACTCCTCCGAGTTTGATGAGGACGACTGGTCGGATTAAGTCGTTCTGCCTGCTCCCACCTCTTTTCTTCCTACCTGCCTTCCTCGATGCCTGCCCCAGCAGTCCCCTGGGGGGAAAGGGGAGGAAAAAAGAGAATATCAAGAGGCCAAAGCCGTCCCTGAAGCTACCAAAGATATATCCAAGCGCTTCCTCCAAATCAGCATGTATCTCCCACCTCCCATGGTCAGGCCCCACGGGGCGCCTGAGGTGTTCCCTCTTCCCTTCAAGTGACTGTTGCATATTGGAGAGAAGGGAAAACCCCAAAGCTGATCCTTTTGAGTAGGTTTGAAGTGGAGTTGGTGCCTTTCCCTAGGAGCCATTTTCAACTGTGGTCTCCTCCCAAAATCCTTGCCCTCAGCCACTTCGAATAATGCCAGCTACCTTCTGACCCTAAAGCCTGCATGGACACAGCTGGCCCCTTTCCCGTGCACTGAGAGGTCAGCGCGGGCTGCATGCCCCAACAGCCAGACTGCCGCACCCTTCTGCCCCGGTCAGCAGGGTGAGGCTGCCTTTTGCTAGGCTGTTTGTGTATCTGGATCCCCTTTATTCCAGGAGCCATCGTGCCCCTAAAGAAAGTCTCAGCCCCTCTGCCCAGAAATGACGCCTTTCTGAAGACTGAGGTGGCTGCCTCCCTCCCAGGCTGCCTCTCCTGAGTATGGTGTTTGGGTGTCCTTTACATGCCCTTTTCTCACCCTCAGATGCCTCTGGACACTGTAGCCCAGTTATGACCTCTTAATACGTATGACCAAACTGGCCCTGACACACAGGGATCTGGGCCTCTGCTGGATGTCAGGAGCCGAGCTTAAGACTTGGGACTGCAGGACGGGGAAGATGGGGGGACTACTCGGTCCTGCCTTTTTAATGATGCTAACGTCTAGAGATGGGAACTGACTTGCTCAAGGTCACACAGTTGGATCGTGACAGGGCTAGAGCCCAGGGTTTCTGATTCCAAGTCACCTGTGCTTTCTGGGACCAAATAGTGGACACCTGCTGGAGCCTGGGCAGAGCAGCCTTGACTCTGTGCTGCTCCAGACCTCACCGTAGGTGAGGGTCCCAGCAGGAGGGCCCAGGGCCTGTGCCAGGCTCGTCAGTGCTGCTCAGACCCTTCTGTGTAGCCTCAGAAATCTTTGCTTCCTCTTTGCGACCACTAGCCACCCACATGGCCTTGGGAGCTGCCCCTCTGGGGAACTAGAGGTAGTGAGAGAAGGAAGGGGGTGGGCAGCTTTGACAGGTGCTGTTTTCAATTCCTCTGCAACTCCTCCCCCTTTTATTTCCCCAATTTAAGCGTAGGTTCTGCCAACTGTAGAAACCTCAGTCTCTCGAGCTGGCAGCCACCGCAGGTAGCTGCCTGGGGGGCCTGGCAGCCGTGAGGAGGGCTGAAAAGCAGAGGGGCTCTGGGTCTTGTTTCCAGCTCCCCTCCTCACTACACACGGGGATGTTCCCTCCCTCCCTCCCTCCCCTTTTTTCCCAGAGCTAATACACAGGTGCTATTATTCAGAAAAAACTGGTCAGCTTTGGCCGGCAGTGAGGCTTCTTCTCTTCTGCCCTAACTATTGTGCCTTCTCTTCTGCTGAAACCGGCTTCTCCTGGCTTCTCCTGCTTTCAGAGCCCTGAAACAAAGAGAAACAGGATCTGCCTCTACCCGGCACAGCAAATGGTTGTAGTAATTGCCAAAGCCTTCATAAACCCCTCCGGCTCGAGGAGAGTGTGTAATCATGGGTACTGCCGCTGTGCCCTGGCTGAATGCTCCCCCTCTGCCTTTTTCCCTTGAACTAGGGCCGAGACTGAGCTTGTAGGGCCAGCGTGCCCTCCTGTTGGGACTGCTCTGGAGTGTGCCCTCCTCCCTCTCCCCAGGTCAGGTGTCCCTGGCACGGGGCCAGCACCTGGCTCTGGTGCTGAGCATGCTGGGCTGTGTGTGCCCCTCCCTCTCTTCCCACCTTGCACTTCGGAAGCTGAAGGCACATTTTTCAGAACCCTAAAATGGCCGTTGAAGGTGCCCCTGGCTGCAGCCCAGGAGGGGTTGGAGAGACAGGCAGAGGGCAGTGGTTCTCCCAAATAGGAGTCCTGGGGCCTGGCCAGGCCAGGGTTTGGGCCTAATGGCTTTGACTAAATCACCCCCACCCCCCTCCTTTCCGGAAAAAGGGGGAGCCAGTGCCATTCTGACCTTGAAGGGGGTGGTGTTAGCCTGGCTTCTGGAATGGACAGTCCAGGATGGAAAGGTCTGGGGGCGGGGTGGGGGGGGGCACTGCTTGCAGAAGGTAGGATTAGATCATTAGCTCAGTGACCTCCTAGGGTTTCGATGTGCTGTGTTCTCATCCTACAGCTGGTTTGGTAATGATCTGCAAGTCCCGGAGAGCAACAGCACAGCTCTGCCTGACGCTCTCATTAAAATCTATGCAGCCAAGCCTGGAGCTTTGTAGCAGCCGGCCTTGGGAAGCCTCCTCAGCTGGGGGGTGGGCTGGGGCCCAGTCAGCTGAGAGGCCCTCTGGGCTCTACTTACACATATGTGCAAATCCCACCCCCCACCCCCCCCACCAAATGCTTCTTTAAACCTGGAGTCCTTTAAGATGATAAAGGACTCTATGCAGGTAATCATGTGTCTTTGGACTCTTGTAATTGTAGAATGCAAAGTTTAGTGATTATTTATACTGGGCCCGTGAGGACTCAAGCACTGAAGCCAACGAGCCACCTCCTTTCCTGGTCTGCTCAGCCCAGGGGACCCGCCCCCATTCCTGTGGCCCCGGGGCCCAGCTTCCAACGGACAGGCTGTGTTAGGAGTGACTGGTGGCTTTGCCCCAGTTATGAGACGAGTACATTCCAAAGGAGCAGCCTCTGGGAGGGGGCAGGCCCTTGATCCCTTGGAAGCTCAGAGCAGCCACCCCAAGCTCCAGCTTGCCTCCGGAAGCTTGAGCGCCCTCAGAAACGACCCTGGCCAATGTCACCGCAGAGCTGAGGCGGTGTTGTCAGGGCTAATGTGAAATCTCTTCCCGTGGCGCCGATCCTCTGGCTCTGCAGCGCCAGCTTGGACAGATTGAGGTCTCTGTGGCTTTGGTGACCCTGCTTAAGCATTCCCATCGTGTCCTGGCTCTGCTCTCAGCATGCCTCCCACTGCAAACCCCTCACCTGACTCGAAGGCCTGGGGATGGGACAGTGCCCCAAGGCCAGGGGCTTGTGCTCAGGAGACGAGTCAGCCTTCCTAGGGGCATCAGGCTTTGAGCTCTACTGGGGTCCTGCTGACCTGGGGACCAGGTGTTGCCCAGAGACACACCTTGCTTCAGTGAGTGCTAGGGAACAATGTTATTAACTTTACTCAGTTAACTCACTTGAGAAACTAACCAGTTTTCACTTACTGTATAGAATGATGTACGTGTAGGAGAGTGAGCCATAATGCTCCCAAAGTGCCTTCTTTTCTCTGATATAAGCATATTTGTAAGGACCTATTCCCGTGGATTCTTGGGTGTGTTTGCCACATCGAGGTGTTCGGGAGCGAGCACACATGTAGTGGGGACACAGGCTGAAAATGGGTCCCTTTTCCCCAAGGACGGAGAAGGAGCTTCAAGTAGAGATCTGAGCAGTGGGCTTCAGCCAAACCCCAAAGCGGCCCTTTCCCTTTGCCCTACTACTCAGGTCCTCAGAAGCATGTCCAGTTTTTTAAAGCCCTGTGGCTCCCAGCCTGGTCTCGCTTCCGAGCCAGGCTCATGTGCCTACCACATTAGCTCCCCAGTGACCCGAAGATTCCATGTAACTGTATACAAGCCAATATTTTAAATAATTTGATAAAATCTTTGTAGCCACTCAGCCACCTCTGGTGTGTGTGTGTGTTTTTTAAGATTTTATTTATTTATTTTTAGAGAGGGAAGGGAGAGAGAAAAAGAGAGAAACATCAATGTGCGGTTGCTGGGGGCCGTGGCCTGCAACCCAGGCATGTGCCCTGACTGGGAATCGAACCTGCGATACTTTGGTTCACAGCCCGTGCGGAGTCCACTGAGCTATGCCAGCCAGGGCTGTGGTGTGTGTGTTTTTTAATGGGAGAAGTGATGAGAAGGGGGCCCGTTGAGAGTCACAGGTGGTGGCCAGAGCTCTAGAGGGAGGTCCAGTGTGGGTGGGCTCAGAAGGCCTCTGGGTGTGGATGGTACACCCTATTCGGAAGGTGGGGATGAAGGCCAGAAACCATTCTGATTTAGGAGGAAGCCCAAACTGAGGGACCTAGAGGCGCAGATCCCCAGACTCCCCTCAGCTGAGAGGAGTGTGCTGGGAACTCCTTGGGTCAGGTGGAATGCTGATGCTGCCTCCCAGCATCTGGCCAGCATCTTGTCTGCCTCAGACCCAAACAACTTCCCTTAAATAGAGCAATTTACAATGGAATCCAAGAAAAGGTTTAGGCTGCCCCAAGCCCCTCTCCCAGGTGAGGGGGCTGGGTTTACATTCTGACCCCAAAAAATGACCTACCCAGGAAGCAACGGTTGTGGTTCTGAGCACAGCTGCTGCGGGTAACTGTCCCTGGGGGTAATTTACAAAGAGACGCCCAGTTCCAGGCCCAAGCAGAAGCAGTGAGGTGGTCCGGGAGAGGGGCGGGAGTGGGGTTGGTGACTGCTGGTCAGGTCTGTTCAGCGAGTCACCCACTGGCGTCCCAGGAGAGGGAGCAGAAGTTTTGAGTTGTCAGCAACTGCTGTGCCAGCCGCTCTGAGCTCATCGCTGGAGGTGGGGGTGCAGGGGAGGGGGCGAGGGAGCCAGCTCGCCCCTGTGGAGCCCCTCGCTCCACCCTCCTGCTCAGGCCTGTGTTTAGTCAGCACTTGGCTTCCCAAGGCTGGTGACTGACAGGCAGCCAGACGCCCGCCTGGGAGAGGACAAAATGGTGGTGTCTGGAGCCGCCCTTGCTGGGGAGCTGGAGGGAAGGAATGTGCTCTGGGAAGCAGGAGGCCTGCGCTTGAATTCTGGCTTCTCCACTTGGAGCTGTGACCCTATCGATGCAAGTCGCTTCCCCTCTTGGGCTAATCCTGAGAAGAATGAGCGTTTCCTGAGTACTTACTACCTGTCCCAAACTGCACCCACTTTATTTCAGCCTTTTGAGGCAAGGGCCCCCCATTTTACACTTGAGAAAAACAGGTTCAAAGAAGTCAAATGACCTTGCCTCCAAAGATCACGTACCTGGCCAGGACCAGAGCCACAGTCGGACGTGGGTCTCCAGCCAGAACTAGTGCTCTGTTCACCATGCAACTTCACCAGCTTTCAGAAGCTCTCCATCCGGAATCATGGTCCTTGGTGTTGCAAGGGGCATGGTAAAAGTTATCCCTCCTTGTCTACCCACTTCCTGGTGCCCAGTTTTACAAGTAATGGTTCATTTAGCTTTCGATTTAAAATCAAGCAATCTATCTGGACTGAGGGCCTAGCCATTGTAGACCTTCGGAGTTGAAAGTACCCGAATCTTTCCCTAGGTATCGCCTGGGGCTTCCCACAGACACACCCTGCTTAGTACAGCACACACACCTGTTCAGATGCACGCATTCATGCACATGTGTATGCAAACAAGCACATCAGTGGGCACACTTGAGAACCCAGGCCCAGGGACACTTGCACACGGCACGCAGAGCCCTGCTCTTGTGCCGACAAGGACACAGATCCGCACATAGTTACAGGAATACACATAATTGCAGGCAAAGTGCTGGGGAGCCACCCCGCCCTTCACACTGCCAGTTCCTCACTGCCCCCTCCTGGCCGCCCGGTGGCCAGGGCAACCTGGCTCTCTCCTTTAGTTCTGAGGGTGGCTGTCAGCTAGTTCCCTCCTAGATCGGGAGGCTAAGAGCACTTTCAGGTGCTCACCATGGACTGCCCCTCTGCCCCAGGGGACAGGGTGTGTAGAGGGGGCTCTGAAGCTGGAGGACCAGAAAAAAAACAAAAACCTTTCACACCCAAAGAAATCTCATGATGGAATCGTCGTTACTGTACCTCTGAAACTGTGGGCACATTATGTTAGAAAGAGGAGCAGACTGGCTGAGGTCAGAGGTCAGGTCTTGAAGCTCCCACCTTACCACTCCCTCTCTAGGCCTCAGCTTCCTCGCCTGTTCAACGAGGAGTTGATCGTGATGATGTAGGCAGCCCCATCCACTCTGGCACCTCACCATCTTGGGGACCGATGCCTCCCCCCAGGTGCGTGTGCCTGAGTAAGGCACCCATAAACAACCCCATGGACTCCTCAGACCAGTCCTTTGGAGGATTACCAATACAAAGCTTTTATTGCTATTTTACAGTTGAGGAAATGAGGCACAGAGAGGCACAACAACTTACCCAAAGTCACACAGCAAGTTGGCATCAGGCATGGAAATAGAAACCTTTCCAATGAGCAGCCTGCCTGTGTGAGAGTAGAACCCACTGTGGGCTCGGGCCCAGAGCCAAGGAAATAGGAACTGTAGAGGCTAAAGCCAGAAGCTCTGCCCTTCTGTCTAGAAGCTGAGAAGGCTGAGGGGAACTCAGAGGAAGTCCCAGGCTTAGGCGTTAACATGGAGGTAGGGAAGGCAACTTGGAAACTGGGTGGGCGCCACTCTGCCACCCCTTCAAGTAGACTGCACCAACCTTAAACTTTCCCTCTGCAAAGCCAGAGGTGGGCTACAGGGGTTTCCCATAGCTGTGGTCACCTGGTAGCTTGTTCGCCCAAGTGTTTATACACATGAGTGGGGTGCACATGTGTGCCTGGACTCCACGGTGTGCACTCACACATGTGGGTGTATGGTGCCTGCCTGCAACTAAGGAGCACATTCATAGGCATGTGTTACATGTAAGGATATCTTGGCAAGCTGTACATGTGACTGCATTTGTGCGTTTAGGTGAAGTGTGGATACACATGTAAGAATGGTCTCGGCATATCTGCCCAGGTGCATTTATGTACATGTAAGATTTTGCATGCATGCCTACTGGGTGTGTTCATGAGTGTACTGGGGCATGTGCAAATGTTCACGTTCATTTGTGTGAAGAACTGGGTGGGGCATGTCCATGCACACGACTGGTGTATGTTTAGATGCGCATGAAGGGATGGCTTCTTGGGACTGTATACACGTGACCTCCCAAGAAAATATGTCAGTGTTTCCCCCAGCTCTGTTGTAGGGGGTGCCCTGCCTGGCTGCAGCCATGCACTGGGCTTACAGCACCCCCACCCTGCCCCTACACTCTATTCCCCAGATCCATCCTGCTTGGCCAATTTGCAGCCTCTCGCTCCCAGCTCCTGAGAAGGCCTGCAGCAAAGTCAAGGGGCTGGTGGCCAATTAGCAAAGGGGTTAATCAGGGATCTGGGGACCCCCGGGGGACGGGAAGCCAGAAGGCAGGCATTGGGGTTGGCAGGAGCTGGAGCTGCCTGTCATGAGGCTGGGGGAGGGGAGAGGCAGGGAGGGGAGGCTGAACCAGCTCGGTGGTGCTAGAAATCAAGGATCCGCCTGTGAATTCATGATTGCTGAGTGTTGCCAGCAGTGGGAAGCCTGTGCAACTGTGTATGCTGTGTGCAAAAGGTTATGTACAGGCCTTCAAGTCATTAAATGCCCCGTATGCAAGTGTGTGTACATGACTATGGATGCCATCTGTATATACAGGTGTAGTTTCGTATCTGTATATATGTTGGGTGTTCAATGGTGTGCAAATGGGTCTGGGTATGTGAGCATGTCCGAACACACATGCACACATGTATACAAGTCTAAGTCTGTGCATGTACACACATGTACAAGGGCAAGTGTGTGTTCCTGCGAGCAATCATATGTGCAGTGATATATCGGTGTGCACAAATGTTGTACCAGTGTGCAGATACATATGGTTATACATGCACATTTGGGTGAGTATGCATGTGTGTGTTCTCTGAACAGTCAGGGGCCTGGACCCCCACATGTATGCCTCTGTGTGTTGCCTGTGTGTGTCTGTACGTGCCCGTGTGTGTGCCTGTGTACGTACAGGTCTCAGCATGTAGGGAGCAGGGGGATGTGGGGCTGGAGGGCTGCAGGCTCCAGGAGAGAATCTGACAGACAAGACTTGCCGCAGCCCCCGGCCCCGAGAGCCTGTTTTCCAGCCTGTGGAAGCTGTGAGCCCGTGAACTCATCTTATATTAATAGCTGCTGTCTCCTCACTTAATGCAGGGAGAGGCGGTCATGGCCCCAGCAGGGGCTCAGCACTCAGGGGCTGCCCCCCTTCCCCACACAGGACCTGGGAAGAAGGGGAGGAGATGCGGTCCCCACCTCCACCCCAGGGCCTACTCCAGAAAGAAGGCAGGGCTCTGGGCCCCAGCCTTTGCCCCAGCCCAGCTGCGCATGCAGGCTCCCTGGCAGAGGCAGAGGCTGGAGGTCTTAGCTACTCATCCCCAAAATGCACACGTGCACACACAAGAGCATGCTGTCCTGAGCAGCCCCAGGCTGGGCACCAGGTAAGTCTAAGGCTGAAAGAGACAGAAGCCTTCAGTTTAAGGGTGCGGACATGGCCCTTCCCTCAGGGACCCTAGGTTGGAGGGAGGATGCACGGCCTTACCTCAGGGGCCCCCATTCTCACAAAGAAGGCAAGACTCTTCCATAAATGGCTACTCAAGGGAAGTGGAGCATGGTGTGTTGTTGTAGAAACCACATCTTCACAGCTGCAAGAGAGCGTAGCCAGGGAGGCTTCCTGGTGGTATACAGGGAGATCCGGAGATGTAGCTGAAGAACCTGGGAGGAGGGAGGAGCCATCACGTGGGCACACAAGCTTCAACCCCCAGGTAGACTCGGACACCCCTCAGGGTGGGCCGGGGATCCCGAGCAGAGACTCCAGATGCAGGCCCCCAGAAATACCTCGTATCTA